TATACTCTCATACATTCCCCTCTTTGCCTCCAAGGAAAAAGTTCTCTGTCTCCACAGACTCCTAAGTGCCCCACTCACTCTTTTTCCCTCATCAATTCTATGATTCACCTCATCTTTCATAGACCCATCCGCTGACACGTCCACTCCCAAATATCTGAATACGTTCACCTCCTCCATACTCTCTCCTCCAATCTGATATTCAATCTTTCATCACCTAATCTTTTTGTTATCCTCATAACCTTACTCTTTCCTGTATTTCACCTTTAATTTTCTTCTTTTGCACACCCTACCAAATTCATCCACCAATCTCTGCAGCTTCTCTTCAGAATCTCCCAAGAGCACAGTGTCATCAGCAAAGAGCAGCTGTGACAACTCCCACCCTGTGTGTGATTCTTTATCTTTTAACTCCACGCCTCTTGCCAAGACCCTCGCATTTACTTCTCTTACAACCCCATCTATAAATATATTAAACAACCACGGTGACATCACACATCCTTGTCTAAGGCCTACTTTTACTGGGAAAAAATTTCCCTCTTTTCTACATACTCTAACTTGAGCCTCACTATCCTCGTAAAAACTCTTCACTGCTTTCAGTAACCTACCTCCTACACCATACACTTGCAACATCTGCCACATTGCCCCCCTATCCACCCTGTCATACGCCTTTTCCAAATCCATAAATGCCACAAAGACCTCTTTAGCCTTATCTAAATACTGTTCACTTATATGGGGTGTGCTAAACATCGAGGTCATAGGCAGTGAGTGTCGATGGGCATCACTGCATGCCTTCCTGCGTCTGGACAGATATTGCAACACAGGAGACATCGTTGCGGCTGAGCTGTGACATAATGGGTTACGGTCTCCTCTAGAACGGTGAAGCAGTCATTGTAGGAGTCACTGCAGGTTTCACTCAACCTGGGGCACGACATGCTGGTGCCCTCGAGTGAGGCGTCATCAAAACTTGGCAACTGGGCAGGGCTTCTGGCAAGCGACTCAGGAGAACACTTCTCAACTGGTACTGTCGCTGGGCTGTCACTGCTGGCAAGTGTGGAGTAAGTCGTGGAGCGAGTCATGGCAGAGACGACTGGGCAAAACATCTGGGAGTCGTAACATTATACACCAGACTGCAGTGAGTGAGCTAGCAGTCAAAGTGACATCATCTTTGTGCAAGAGCTCACTGAAGCTATGACAGGAGGCTGACACAGCGCCTGCCGACACTGCTTAAACTGTGGTTTGATGAGTGTCATTCTCTCGACAGTTGGAGTTATAGCAGAGGTTAGTCTAAGCATCCCCAGACTTGTTTCTCTACATATAACTGCACTCTGAAGGTCTGGAGGTGAAGTGAAACAAATCTTGATGGGAATCGTAGCAGGTACAATTCTGCAGAACATCTATGAGTGACGAGCATAAGAGCTTTCTGTACAAGGGGCTCATACGCTCAGGGCTGACTAATATTAATCAGCTGTCAAACGCGCTGGTCACACCAGGTGACAACACAAGGTGCTACTTTGAGGTCTGGGCTCAAGACCACACTGGACACACGGAAAACTTTACACACACCCGCGGTACATGCGGTACAACATGGCTTAACTAGCAAATAATGCTTTTCTGTGCACAAAAATGACACTAAGCCATACACTAACATGTGAGAACACTGACTGAGAGGAATTAATTAACACACGACATATATCTTCTCTCAATCATCGACAATACTGACATAATTACTGAAACATTCGATGTGACATCATGTGATGTCAGGTGTGATGTCGCGAGGTGACGTCAACAGCACTGTGACATCAGCAGACGTCTTGAGGTGACGTCAGGCAGACATCGTGACATCATGAAGTCGGGCAGCAGCAGACCACAGCATGTGGCCTGGGACGTCTGGCTCAGTAACTCACGTGGCTCGTAGATCTGTGTGGCTTCGTCCACACCCCACGTGACATCGGGATCCACATGGCATTGTGATCTATGTGGCTTACTGATCTACATGGCTTGCTGATCCACGTGACTTGCTGATCCACGTGGCTTCGAGTGGCCTCAGGCACTCGGATACACAGCTCTGGCAAAGAATTCACACGAAAAACAGCAGAAAACACAGCAGAGGGAGTGAGCACATAGTGGAATGTGGTGGCAGGTGGGTGAGGTGTGAGTGAGCCAGGAATGTGGCCAATTCCTCCTCTTCTCCCACAAACACAGAGACACGCACACTGGACACACACTGGATGCAGAAATCACCACAAAACTCACCTCTGGCTTGCTGAAATAGCTGTGCTGAGCTGAACAACAAAAGCAGAATATACAAGTGATGCTGAACACGTGACTTGAGAAACAGCGTGGGACACTGTAGCATGGGGTCACTTACAATTCTCCAAGAAATTCGGCAAATTTTGGCCAGATCCTGCTTGTACCTGTGTCTGGATGCTGAAACGTACAGATACGACATCAGGATAACTCGATGAGAGACGGATGCTTCTTGTATGGGGTGATGAAGTAAACACAACTTCTTCCTCTGTCTGGGCAAAAATAACTGCTGCAACCACCGCTGCTACCAATGTGAAACTGATTATTTGGCATTTCTGGTAGCAGAGAGTAAATGATACGTCTTCGGAGGCTTCTTACTTTATTTGCAAAGTTGTGGTGGGTACACAGGCTTGTGTGTTTGTGCCCATGGCCCGGGAGGGCCGTGCCCATGGCCATGGAGGGCCGTGCCCATGGCCCGGGAGGGCCATGCCCATGAGGGAGAGAGGGAGTAGGACTGTTGTCTGAGTCTAGGCAGCTGTGTGAGTGAGCGACTGGGACCAGCGTCCCACCGACCTGGGCAGGTTTAGAGAGGGCAGCACCTGAGTGCCACGAAATATGAACTAAGCTGGCAGACAACATAGGCTGTTTGTGCAGACAGTACAGGCTGTCTACAAGTGTATGTATGTTGAAAGACACTTCAGTCAACGTATGTATGTTGAAAGACACTTTGGTCAGTGTATGTATGTTGAAAGACACTTCAGTAATTTGGTGTCATTTGCTGATGAGACCAAAATAGGCCGTCCAATTCATTCTATTGAGGACATTAGTGCACCCCGGATGATATGAATAGACTGATGCAGTGGTCGGAGAAGTGGCAGATGCAGTTTAATATAGACAAATGCAAAGTTCTAAATGTTGGACAGGACAATAACCATGCCACTTATAAACTGAATAATGTAGATGTTAATACTACTGATTGCAAAAAGGATTTAGGAGTTCTGGTTAGAAGTAATCTGAAACCAAGATAACAGTGCATAAGGGTTTGCAATAAAGCTAACAGAATCCTTGGTTTCATATCAAGAAGTATAAATAATATAAGTCGTCAGGTTGTTCTTCAACTCTATATATCCTTGGTTAGGCCTCATTTAGATTATACTGCTCAGTTCTGGTCACCGTATTACAGAATGGATATAAATGCTCTGGAAAACGTACAAAGGAGGATGACAAAGATGATCCCATGTATCAGAAATCTTCCCTATGAGGATAGACTGAGGGCCCTGAATCTGCACTCTCTAGAAATTCTAGGCATAGAATTAGGGGGGATATGACTGAGGTGTGTAAATGGAAAACAGGAATAAATAAAGGGGATGTAAATAGCGTGCTGAAAATATCCAGCCAAGACAGGACTCGCAGCAATGGCTTCAAGTTGGAAAAGTTCAGATTCAGGAAGGACACAGGAAAGCAGCACTGGTTTGGTAATAGAGTTGTGGATGAGTGGAACAACCTCCCGAGTACCATCACAGATGCTAAGACGTTGTGTAGTTTTAAAAATAGGTTGGATAAATACATGGGTGGGTGTGGGTGGGTGTGAGTTGGACCTGACTAGCTTGGGCTACCAGGTCTGGTGCCATGCTCCTTCCTTAAGTGGAAGTGACCTGACTAGCTGGTCATTGTTCTAGGCCGGGGGAATGGCATGGACCTGCTTCACATGGGTCAATAGGCCTGTTGCAGTGTTCCTTCTTTCTTATGTTCTCATGTTCAATGTATGTATGCTGAAAGACACTTCAGTCAGTGTATGTATGCTGAAGGATACTTCAGTCAGTGTATAAACTCACTTTATACATGATAGTTGTAATCATTCTAGGTAGAAGGTTGGTAGACAGCAACCACCCAGGGAGGTACTACCGTCCTGCCAAGTGAGTGTGAAACTGAAGCCTGTAATTGTTTTACACGATGGTAGGATTGCTGGTGTCTTTTTTTTTCTCTCATACACATGCAAGATTTCAGGTATGTCTTGCTACTTCAACTTACACTTAGGTCACACTACACATACATGTACAAGCATATATATACACACCCCTTTGGGTTTTCTTCTATTTTCTTTCTAGTTCTTATTCTTATTCTAGTTCTTATTCTTGGAACAGAATTCTTCCTCTGTAAGCCATGCGTGTTGTAAGAGGCGACTAAAATACCGGGAGCAAGGGGCTAGTAACCCCTTCTCCTGTATATATTACTAAATGTAAAAGGAGAAATTTTCGTTTTTCCTTTTGGGCCACCCCGCCTCGGTGGGATACGGCCGGTGTGTTGAAAGAAAGAAGTTGTAATCACTTAAATTTGTGTAACTGTACTTACGTGTACCTGTACCTAAATAAATTTACTGGAATAAAACTTGTAAAGATCAAAAAGCTCCTGGGAAATGGAAATGGGAAGCAATCAGGTTGGGCGACCCATAGCTTGGTTGGTAGCACACTCACCTCACACACCACGTGTATGAGGTTCAATACCCGGTACGGATGGAAACGTTGGGTATGTTTCCTTACACTTGCTGTCCCTATTCACCTAGTAGTAAGTAGGTCCCTGGGTGTCAACCACCTTACACTTGCTGTCCTTGTTACCTAGCAATAAGTAGGTCCCTGAGTGTTAGTCACTTTACACATGCTATCCCTGTTGACCTAGTAGTAAGCAGGTACCTGGATATTAGTCATCTTACACCTCCTTTAGAAAGGAATATGAATAATAATAAGCATTAAACCTACTTGCTACTAGTTGCCAGATAACATTGAGAACTGCTATGTTGATAGACTTGGGCAGATGACCTTCCTTGCCATCATATTTTCGGAAATCATTGACCAGCATCTGTGCCTCCTCCTGTATGACAGCTTCCAGACAAGACTTGCCCATACCCAGGTCCCTCAGGTTACGTAGCAAGAACCTTCGTGCATTTTGCCACTGTTCTCCATTGGTCAATATTACTCCTGGTTGTAGGAAGAATAATACAATCATTGGTCAATATTACATCTGGTTGTAGGGAGAATAATACAGTCATTGGCCAATATTACCTGGTGTCGGAGACAAATTGGCCAACATTACACCTGGTTGTTGGGAGAATATGATCATTGGCAATACTACACCTGGTTGTAGGGAGAATAATACAATCATTGGTCAATACTATACCTGGTTGTAGAGAGAATAATACAATCAGTGGCCAATACTACACCTCGTTGCAGGGAGAATAATACAATCATTGGTCAATACTACACCTGGTTGTAGGGAGAATACAATCATTGGTCAAGTAAAAGGACACAAGTGCAACTAATGTGACATTTTTATTGTGGCAACGTTTCACTCTCCAGGAGCTTTGTCAAGCCATTACAAACAGTACATGGACACAGAGGGTATATATAGGCTCAGAGTGAGGTGCAATACTTGTGGTAGAAGAAGAAGAAGAAGAAGAAGAAGAAGAAGAGAAGAAGAAGAAGAAGAGGAGGAGGCAGAGGAGGCAGAGGAGGCAGAGGAGGCAGAGGAGGCAGAGGAGGAGGAGGAGGAGGAGGAGGAGGAGGAGGAGGAGGAGGAGGAGGAGGAGGAGGAGGAGGAGGCGGCGGCGGCGGCGGCGGCGGGCGGCGGCGGCGGCGGCGGCGGCGGCGGCGGCGGGCGGCGGCGGCGGCGGCGGCGGCGGCGCGGCGGCGGGGCGGCGGCGGCGGCGGCGGCGGCGGCGGCGGCGGCGGCGGCGGCGGCGGCGGCGGGCGGCGGCAGGCGGCAGCAGCGCAGCGGCAGCAGCAGCAGCAGCAGCAGCAGCAGCAGCAGCAGCAGCAGCAGCAGCAGCAGCAGCAGCAGAAGCAGAAGCAGCAGTAGTCCATCACAAATCCGGCATCATTGGGACCTGTAGTGTGCCGGATTTTTGAGTTTGCCAGATTACAGAGTGGTTAGGTAAAAGTTCATTGAACATCGGCAAAAATTGAACATTTCTGCTACTTTCAGCTCAATTTCAAGGTACTTTTCGTCATGAAAGCAATCAAAATCATGTCTATTTCTGTAATATATCTTCCATTCTATCAAACGAGTCCAAAAAAAATGAGAATGCAACCATAAAAACCATACAAAAATATACTGCAAAGAGGCGGCTAATGACTGAGAAGTGAACTCCCTTATTTATCGTCCGTCTTTTTTTTTATTTTTGTTGTCCGTTAAGAAGCATCTTTCCAACATACATTGCCCAAGTTTCAATGAGATAGCCCAACAAACAACCGAGAAAAAAAACAATATTTACCAAAAATAATATATGGCAAGCCCAAGCCAGGTACTGGAAATAAGTCACTTTGTCTGACTCTTCTGGGTTATCCTACATTCTCTATACATATGCTGCTATGTATGATAATCTATGTAACTGTATTTGTGTATACCTGAATAAACTTATTTACTTTCAGTCTGTCAACTGATTACAACAGTAAGGCCTGAGTGGTTGAGGGGAGAGGACGTGTGTGTTGAGTGAGGTCCTAGGCCTTCTATATCAGAACTGCTTAACTCATCCGACTGATAACTCATCATGCAACAAATATTGTTGGAGCGCAGCTGAATTGCTGCTGGAACTCTTATGTGTGAACTGTGACTAGTGATATACCTAGTGAAACACAAACATGTTGATTTGAAGTGGCTATAGGAGGCCTACCTTCACTCCACCTCGCCTGCCTCCCCTCCTTCCTCGATTTGGAACTCAGCCATTCGCCTCTATTTACTTATGGTCTAGAGGCAGTTTTTGCCAGACCACATAAATGCTTGAGCGCCAGTGTCAGTCCTCTGTGCCGCACTCCACTCATCTTACGAATGTCTCCTGTGTGCCTACCTGCCTGCTACAAGCAAATATCCAAATGGTTGACACGGGCTTAGCAAACACATTCAAGCAGGCTTGAAAGCAGCACTCCAAGCTAGCCTGCATTTACAGCTGTCCTGACCTCCAGCATGTCTATGTATACGTTCTACAGTGCTGCTAGCATACCAGTGTTTCCTGTAGTAGCTTAGTTAAGAACAATTTAACGAGCATTGCAGTACTGACTTTTTAAGTGGGATATGCCAGAAGTTCACCTACAAACATAGTAAGTTTGAGCTGATTTGCTTGTGCACAGAGTGAACATTCGTCTGTCATACGTGTGCTAGAAGTGTTAAGTGCTGCAGGCTTGTTGTAACTATCTGCATGAGTGGATTTCACTGACTTAGGACATTGTGCGACCATCAGTACCTACGTAGGCTTAAAATGAGTGAGGAATGTCTGGCCTGCTGGGTGACCTTGAAAATGGCACTATAAGACCCGCATGCCACTTACACCCATACTGCATGTGTCTAGTGAGGTGAATGTCCCTTCCTCGACTTTCCTATTCACCGGTTTCCCTTAACTCGTCGCCATTATCTACATATGGGATAAGGGCGAGTTTAGCTGATCCAGGCTAAACAGCACTCCAATTCTGTCAGTGAAGGCCAAGTTACACTGCAATTACATCTGTTCTGAATCCCAGCATGCCTTTGTGAACATTCTACAGTGTTCCGGCCGTACCATTGTTTTTCCTGCATTGAGAATGTGTGGGTTGATGAGCCAGATGGTTTAAAAAGTGAGTAATGTCAGGCAGAGTGGAGTAGTCTCTGGTCTCTACCACCATCACCCACATATCTCTCCATGCTTGTACATTGTAAACCACCGCTCACACACCAGATGAAGAAAGAAGATATTCTGAGCGGTGATGACAAAGCCGCAGGCTCTGTGAGCCGTCGGAGAGCGCACATTGATCCCTCAGAAGTCGACTGTCAAGATGCTGTGTAACAACGTCAACTTTCTTTCACCACTACAATAGGATTATTTCTGACTTTCCCCAACAGTGTTTCACTTTATAGACAGTAATTGTCATTTGTAAGCCTGTATTAAGACTTTAAAAGGCTCAGAGTGTACTTCAGTGTAGTGACTCATTACATTTGATAAATCAGTGTAATACATGCTCTGCTCAGTGTAACTGAACTATTAAATACAGTTACATAATTAAGTTGCTTGTCCGAGTGTCATTGCTGTGTTTTCTAATGCATTTTCTCGTTCAGACTGAAACTTTACTGCTAAATTCCCAGTAATATTTCAAATTGCAGTGTTCATCTGTGGTGTGAGTGTGTAACTTATGCTTTGTATTTTTACTGTGAACAAGCTTACTCCTGCATAATGTTCAGTTTCATGAATACTTTCTCTCTTGAAAAATTCAGTTACCTTTAAACTGTGTTAAGCAAGAGTCAGCCTGTTCCTTGCCATCTCATCTAGTGGGTTTAGCGCCTAGTTAAAATTGTAATAGTAACAATTTGAAATCTTTTTAAATTTCTAGTTAAAATTGTGTAAATTGTTTTTATTTTATTTGGTAAAAGGATTGTAGTTTTTAAACTTTGAACACCATGAACCGTTAAATGACTGCAATTTGCATTGCACATAATAACATAAAAAAACTAAAACCTGGTAATCTCCAAAGTGGACCTAGTTTTGTGACCTTAAAGAAGTTGAGAGTGTTTACACGACCGCGGTTTCCATTTCCACCCATTTTTACATCAACACAAGTGTTTTCTATGATAAAGGTCCCTTTGGGTTTTGTACTTGGTAACATTGTATAATAGAAAACGATGTGTAAGTGAGTTTGTTTGGGTATGGTTTATCTTCTACAGCTGACACTTACGCTTGATACAAAAAACATTATGTAACGTGTGGTTCCCAGGATGGAAAAAGGGAAAAGTGACCAGATGATTTATCTCTTTGTATTGTAACATTACCTAGTTACCATGTTTTTTTTTTAAGTAATTTTTTTACAATCTAGGGGTTGGGGAAAGAGGCTGTCTTCACATTTTGTGAGCCGCTTTTTTTATTAAATTTTAGTGAGGTAATTAGGTGGCAGTAGCCTGAACTGGCTCAAGCACGTTTTTGGGACATGACGGGAAAAAGGAGGGTGTATCTCGACCGCGACAGAAACAAGAGAAAGGAAAAAACTGAAGAGTTGGAAAAAAGGGGGAAAGGAGGGAAGGAGGGGTGGAGAAAACAGCCCGGGGATCCAGACCCAGGAAGAAGTCAAATAAGCCCCCCTACAATTTCTATAGAAGCCCCCAACCAGGTCAACCCCAGGCAACCAAACACTCTAATCAAAACACCCTGCCCATCCAATGCCCCCCCCCTAATTACAAACTTCACCCCCAAAACAACAACCCCTATTCCCTTTCCAGGTCTCCCCCTTCCCCCCAAACCCCAATATACTCCCAAAACCACAGTCTTAGAAAAGAAGTTGAAGGTGGTATAAAAAGCAGATTGAATAAGAAAAAGTATGAGGATGGACGAAAGAATAAAAGAGACACCCCCACTAATAGCACTCACAGAAAAAAAACTACCAAATAAAAATAGATTCAATTTTTCCATCCGGTATCAATCTTAGGAAAGACAGAAGGAGGAGAGGGGGGAGGAGGAGTTGCACTCCCTCATTAAAAACCAGTGGGGTTTTGAGAAAATGGAAGGAATGGATGGCATGGGCGAAAGGGACTACTTAGTAGGAACAATCCAGTCTGAGGGACGTAAGGTGATAATTGCAGTTATGTACAACCCACCACAGAACTGCAGGAGGCCAAGAGAAGAATACGATGAGACCAACAGAGCAATGATCAAAAACACTACCCGAGGTGGCCAGGAGAGCACACATGGGGGGAGCAAAGTTACTAGTTATGGTGATTTAAATCACAAGGAGATTGACTGGGAAAACCTGGAGCCCCATGGGGGTCCCAAAACATGGAGAGCCAAGATGATGGATGTGGTACTGGAGAACCTCATGCATCAACATGTTAGAGACACTACCAGAGAGAAAAGGAGAGGATGAACCAGCAAGGATGGCCCTTGTATTCACAATGAGTAGTTCGGACATCGAGGGTTACCCATGTATGAAAGGCCCCTGGGAGCTAGTGATCATTGGTTCTGTGCTTC